AGAGTAGCCAAACCACAGTGGGAGGAATTGTGGGCTATACTGCATTATTTGTTGCTCTAATGATCCTTTTTTTTCTTGCTCAGCTCTCCTTTAGTTTCAGCTTTTCACTTTTCTGGGCTGGAATCATTATTTAGCAAAAATGTTACCTGTATTTTCAAGTGCCCCTGTTTTTTATTTAATTTTTTCCCATTTGCATTTCTCTTTTCCTCCTTTTCTTGTTTATTTCCTGTTCTCCCCTCTGCTTTTATTCCCATTCGCAGCTTTTCTTTGGGTTACATATTCTGTTATTGAAGTAATCTTTATTCTATTATTGAAGCTCATTTAGTATTTAGTAATGGCTGGATCCCCCCCTACAAATCAATGAGGAAGGATGACCATAGGTGAACCATGTTGCATGTTAAAGAACATCTCTGAAAAATGGAAGATGGCATAATTTTTCTTGGTCCTGAATATGAGCACTGTGTTCTGCAACTGCATTTACAAAATCCCCCCTCCCGTCAGTTAACATTACAGTCTTTATCCAAACCTCCTGTTTTTAAATGCATGCCCTTCCTAATTGAAATAATATAGCAAATTTCCAGTTCATTACATTAGTGAGAAATCAATGTTTATTAGGCAACCATTGATCCTTTGGATCATGGTCTCTGTGTATGAGGTCTAGTCAGATGTCTGATGAATCTGCTTGTGGTTGACAGTCCCAATTTGCAAGTGACACAGCTTGTTACAAGTTTCACAAATCCATTTGTTGTCTGAGTTGGAATCCAAGTTTACAGCATGCCGCTTCCTTCTTTTCTCACTTTGCTTCCTTCCTGTGGATCAAAGCCACTTAATGGTGATCTGCACCCAGTGCCAGATGGTCCCTCCAGGTTGGATGGGATTCTGCGCACTCCTCCCAGCTTTCTACATTGATGTTGAACAACTTCCTATCATTTTCGCACATGTCACGGTACTACCATAGAGGCTGACCCTGCTTTCTAGAGCCATCTTAAATCTCTCTGTACAAAGTATTCTTAGGGATACAGTCTCCTTCCATTCTCTTGACATGGCTGAGTCATCGTGACCTCCTCTTCTTGATAGTAGTTTCCAAGTGTGTCAGCCCTGCATGATTCAGCACCTTTGTGTTTGGCATTTTGTTTTCCCACTTTATTTTTACAATCTTGCACAGGCATCTCGTATGGAAGCTGTTTAGCCTCCTGATGTGCCAAGCATACGTAGTCCACATTTCTGAACCATAAAGCAGGGATGACATCACTCAAGTCTCATAAATTCACATTTTCACCTTAGTTGATAGTTTGTTGTTATTCCATGCCTGTTTCTGTAATAGCCTGAAATTCTTAGCTGCTTTTCCAATTCTGTTAGTTCATTCTGAAGGCCAAAATTCCTGCTGATCATAAAACCCAAGTAGCAAAAGCTGTCAATGACATCAAGAGATTTACCCTCCACAGTGAGGTTGGGCACTGGTTCTTCCACCCATTGGTACATAAAATCAGTGTACTTAACCGCTAAGAGAACAGCCAAATTATTATCATACACATCTTGAAAGGGGAAATTGAAACTTATTTCCTTAACAAATCATTTCTCTCTTCTGTTTTGTAAGCACTTTTTCAAATATTGCATGGCTGACCAGGTTGGGTTATAGGGAATGTTTTTTGTTTTTGTTTTTTAAAGAATTGAAACGCACTGAAACATGTAATAAATGACTTTTATATGCATTTGTACATACACATTGTTCAGCATTTAAAAATACCACTTATATGTAGTTACCACTTGATATTATCTGACAAAACATGGTTATCTGCTCTCTATTTATATGTAGAAATATGGCTGTGATATGTCAAATACCACTTAGTATTGATTGATTATTTTTAGGGTGACGTATGGTAACCTGAAAGCAATTAAAAATATATGTTGGACAACTGTCTAACACACTTACCCCAGAAAACTCAGATATCTGCAGCAAGCATTTACAGATTTATTAGAATTATATATACATGGGATGCTTGTGCAGAGAAATACTTAAATAACCTGAAAGTTGCCATACTGCATGACACAAATCAATACAGTTGTATAGTTGTTCGTAATGAGTTTTTCTTAAAGTTATTACTAGAAGTTTTTGTCATTTTTTTTAAATTAGATTTTCGAAGGGAGAATGTGCTGCCTCACTCTACCTCCAGGTCCAGGCTTACTTTGTTGCTACAGTCTCCTCCTGTGAAATTTCTTATCAGTCCAGAATTCTTTCCAGTGCTGCATTCTAACCCTGTAAGTACAGCATGTAGAGATGAGCAGTTCCATACATGTACAGGGGGCTGGGGTTATGGTGTGGGTGCCAAAGCACATGGTTGACAATCCAGAGGTTGTAAGCTTGAGGCTATAGCAGGAGCTTTCACGGTGCAGCCATGTCAGATTCCAGTAAATCTGCAAATTCTGCTAAATACCTTGTCATGAGGACGTGGGTGTGCAAAGGAAAGATAAATGTACATTTGTAAAGATGGGAAAATCTTGGTATTCTTATCTATAAGCTTCTCTGTTGAGGTTAAGATATAAAACAGCGAAGAAGGTGATGAACTCCATAACAATAAGTATGTCTTGCCTTGTAACTCAACCAATCAACCCCCCCAAAACTGATGGTATGTGCTAGCTGATAAGGTAAAACTTTGATCAGGATTTCTAACTTCGTTTCTGGTTAAGGAGCTACAGTGGCTATTTGTTATAGGCCAGAATTACTTCATTTATCCATAGAAAGCCAAGGTGCTACAGTTTCTTCAGGAAAATGGAGTAATACAGTAGTGAACCATATTTTTATTTGATTTCATTCCATAGTTATAGTAACCACTGCTAAGGATCATATGCCATTTCTGCCTAGTGTTTTTGTGGTATTTCAGCTACTTTCTAATTTCATATTTTATCCACAATGTAAGTTACAACATTATCAGCTAGTCTATAAAGTGCCACATTGCCTTGCCTTCTGTTTAACTTCAGATTAAGATGGTTAATTATTTCTCTCCATTTTGAAGATGTCAGTGATGCATGTGCCTTATGAAGGGGCTTTGCACAGGGATGAATGTCACCTAAAATGCTTTCAAATTTTACAGGATTGTTTGTTTTAATTAGTATGATAAGATATGTAGCATAAATAGAAATAACATAATGAATAGTTCATTGTCTGCATAAATTCCTGTTAATAATTCAGTGGTTTTAAAATTCTTGAACAATGCTAATTTTGCTTTATGATGTATGTTTGCTTGTGTGCATACCAATCATTCTGTTTAGCTCCACAGTTGAGACCTAATTTTTGTTTCCTTTCTTTACATTTCCATATTTTATTCTTGGTTATTCTGAGCCATAATCAAACATGCCTATGTCTTTTTAAAGATCCAGTAGGTGGAAACTGTGTTAGCTTAAGTTCCTGATGAGTTTCCAAGAGGAATATATTACCACCCTGTCATACACCTTATTAATAAGTTTTATTGTGTATGCCATGGTTTCTAGTTTTTCCCGATATACCATCCTTAAGAGAATGCTTAGGAGTGCACTGTGAAGTCACTACAATTGAGTCAACTTTGTTGCCAGAAGAAGCAGTCTCAGTGCTTGACGTGAGTGAGGTGAATGGAGTGCTAAGAGATGCACTCTATACTTCACTGGGGTGAATGAATAACAAAGATTTTCATTTTTTTTTCTATTACTGTTGTTTAGCTGGAGGTGTATTAATTTAAAGTTTATCTGAGCAACAGGCCATCCTTTTACATTAAAAAGGTCACCTCTATCAGTAAGAAAAGGCTAGGTGTTTTTGAAATGTAGATGTCTTGCAAAATGCCTACAAGAATAAATAATTTCTGATAAAATATAGTAGGACAAATTCACTTAATAAGGGCTAACTATTCTACCTATCTTCCTTTAAAGTACACAAGCTTTACAGATATATAAGCATTGCTCTAATTGTTTAGGGTCCAGTTTGTCAAATCACAAATGTGCGTTCATAACTTTAAATGCATGAGCAGGCCATTTGTCTTCAGTGGTATTACTCTTGGACAACATTGAACTCAGTAGGGATCTTTCTGTTAACCTCACTGGAGACTGCATCAGATTGGGTCTCAAGCTGTTGTCTGTTCATCAGAATGGATGGATTCTAATTGTTGGACTAATGGCCTTCCTATATAGATATTTAATTCTGATTTTCTTTTCAGAAATGTATTTATTTTTCTGATGGATTTTTCAGAGTGCCTACCGCATGTTTACAAACAACACGTGTTTAAAGCACATGATCACCAAAGTCCGGCGGGACACCCACCATTTTGAGCGCTACCAGCATAATCGTGATCTGGTGGGCTTCCTTAATATGTTTGCTAACAAACAGCTGGAGCTGCCAAGAGGCTGGGAAATGAAACATGACCATCAGGGCAAGGTAACTGGAATGCAAATAGAAGTCTGTTTGGATTTAGTCTCTATACTGATGGAATTGAGACAGTTGCTGTAAAAGAAGCCAAGGTGGAGACAACTAGAGAAATGATTAATCTTTCCCATAGAGAACGTGCTACTGTGGCCATTTTCCTTCCTCCTGCCTTGCATAGAGTAATATATCTTGTCTGTACTGAGGGAGTATTATTGAGAAGGGTACTCAAGTTAGGTCCCTTTAAATGCCAAACTAGATGTTCAAGGAGGTTAATTGGGCAAAAAATAGTGGGACTGATCTAAATTAGTTCACCTGAGGAGTTGATCTAAATTACATTGGGAATGGGTTAGCCTGACTCAGTGAATGTCTGCACGTTTGGAGTTCAGCCTTGGGGCTGGGGAAACCCAGCCATTTACCCCAGCTCCTGAATACTGCTCTTCTTCAGACTCCCACCTCACCCCCCATACCCTGACCTAGGCTATTTTCAGTCCTCGACCCCACCCCCTGTAGACCCATCCCCCAC